TACTTAAAAGTAAGTATATACTTACTAGGGTAGAGCGAAAAAAAAGTAAAACTTGTAGATTAGAAAAAAAAAAATATAATTTTGGAAAAAAATAATTTTTTTTTACAACTCGAGGCGGCTCCCTCGCTTTTAGAGTAAATTTCGAGTTAAAACTTTTTTGTCCAAAAAAATTTTTTTGTTCGTTTAAACTCTTCACATGTATATAAAAATTACCGAAAAATAAATACGCTTAAGGAAAGCATGTTGCCATTTAAGACTGTTTTTTAAAACTCCAATAATGACCACACAATTTTTTTTAAGTTGACAACTTTTAATTGGCCAGAAAGAGGACTCTCCACAGCTTCTAGAACACTTATGCAAAAATTTTTTACGCAATAAAAATTTTAACTCGAAATTTACTTTAAAAGTGAGTAAGCCTTCAGATGTTAAAATAATATTTTTTTTCAAAAATATTCTTTTTTTATAACCTACAAATTTTACTCTCAGTCTAAGCACAAAAAAAAATTTTCCCTCCACCCTAATACTTACATACTTTTAGATTTCTAACCCAGTTAATCGGTCAACAAATGAGTAATTGTCTCGAAAGGGCTAACTGGAGAAACATGTGCCCGGAAACTTACAAATCTATTAACTAACGCGGTGTTGTTGAACATACATAACTATAACATTTCTTATTTGGTTTTAATTTTGTACACAGATAAGGCAAAAATTGTTTTAAGATCTTTTAAAGCTAACTGATCTGAACTAAAACCACTAACACTCGCACCAAATGGCTGAACAAATTGCAAAAGTTGCTGAAAAATTGAATTCAACTCATTTTCAGTTAGTACTAACCTTCAAAAGACAACTGTTAAAATTTCATGACATTCTATTCATTAGTTTGAGAGTTATTGTGATAAGAGTGACTGCTTTTGTTAAAAACAATGGATGATAAATAATTTCGTGTTTTAATTTTACACTGCTTCTTGATGTGAAAAAATACCGTTCAAGCAAAGCAATGGCTTGATAAGTGTTATGAGGACTCAGCACCAACAGAAACACCAATTAAACGTTGGTTTGCCGACTACAAACGTGTTCGTAGAGACACCAATGATGAGGCTGTAACACCAGAAAACATAAAAAAAATTCGCAAAATCATTCTGAATGATCGGAAAGTGAAGTTGCGTGATATAGCTGAAGACAAATTGTTCTACAAAAGTGGTATTGAAATGTTAAAGCGGCGGTGGAATAATTGTGTTGCCCTTAATGGAGTTTACAAAAAAACCCATGTTTTCTTTGTTAGGTCCGGTCATTTTCAGACGACGTATTATATTACATTTGCTAAAAGAAGTTAGCGTATTCGTTACTGGTATTCGACGTTGAAGTAAAATAGGGGAACGTGAATCAGTATAATCGTTTCAATTAGGTGCGGGTGTGTGATTAAGATATATCACTTTAGATATCAATTTATATATAATATATTGTGTATATATATACATATAATTTTCAATTGCTACAATATTTAATGGAACTTTGCGGACTCCAAAAGATCTTTATCTATCTCTATCGTCTTCAGGAAAAATTTTCTTCGTTCTTCAAAAAACTGTCGCTCACGTGAAACCGATAATGCAACAACACAAGGCGAACTTCGAACTATTTACTTTGTAAGATTAAGCATTAAGAAATTTTAGATGTACATAGTTCTGTCAATGCAAAGTTATCCATTCACAAACGAGTAAATACGTACACACGTGCATCGAAATACATAAATATGTATGTAGGTACTCAACACCCGGAAGACGATCCCGAGTATTCACTGTCAAATAATAGTATCGAAATATCTCTAACCTCTCCTCAGAGCTGTAGCTACATACAGCTATAGAAACATATTTCTTCGCACAAAAAACTTGTAAATGCCTGAAAATTTCTGTGAGCTTAGGTGAGGTCAGAGGTTATATTAAAAAAATTTTCTCAAAACTTTACACATAAGAATTTAAATATCCGGTTTTTCATAAAAAAATCCTTTTTCGTTCAGTGTTGCCTGGGAACTTTTCGGACACCTTGACCTCTGACCCTGGCCAATAGGCGGCAGCGTTAATGTGTGCTTTTCTACCCCAAAATGTACGATGGCACACACATATACGCATAGCCACATTTACCCGGCATTATGTACAAAGTATGTGTGCAATAAGTGACCTCATCATCCACCGTCAATACAGGGCTTGGGCTTGTAAGTTGAAGAAATACGCTACGCGCTTAGTATAGTCCTGGTTCTTGCTTTTTCAATTTTTCCGCGGGTAAATATAAAACTTGATTTGCTAAAGTTCTGAGGCCATTACACAATCTTCAAAAAAATCATTAAACATTTGTTGGAAATTTATATATGTACATATGTATGTATATATAGATAGACTTATATGAATATTCACAAAAATGGTAATAGATTACAATAAAGTGCACTGATATTGCAAACGAATAAATTTGTGTCCAAATAAATACTTTCTATCCGGCGCGCAATAGTATGAGCAACAAAAGCAGGTATATTAGGCCAGCTCGTATTTTATATATCATCGGATATATATACATATGTATGTATGTATCATAACTACCATCAGTGACTACATCGCCGTGTTTTTTGGTAGTTCACTCGTTGTTTTACATAGACATTGCCACATATTTATTCGAATGATGTATTTATGCGTACACATACATATGCATATACTGATGCGCATACTGTACTCGAAAATTTATGAATGAATTACCACGCGACTTGTGAGGTCAGATCAGGCAAACACCCAACGAAAGCACTGATCAGCACCCAGTAATAGAGCAATAAGAAAGGAAGAAACCGCGTTGGCTAAAGAATGCATTGATCTGTGCAGCTCGTACACGCCTACAGAGCAGCTTAACTTAACTCAACTTTTTCGTATTTTTTACATCTGTCGTCACAATATTTTCAAAGTGTAAGAGTATATACATACATACGTAGTCTGTATAAAAGCACTCGTGCGACCGAGAACATTAATTGTCAATTCATTAGTAGTTACATTATGGCGGCTACTTCTTATGACTAATTGCCGCTTAGTACGAGTTGTTTAAATAACATCATTATACCCTGAAGAGGGTATATTAAGTTTGCCACGAAGTTTGTAAAACCCAGAAGCAAACGTCAGAGACTTTATAAAATGTATACATAAGTGATCAGCATGTTGCGCTGAGTTGATTTAGCCATGTCTGTCTGTCTGTCCATGTGTCTGTCTGTATATACGCGAACTAGTCCCTCAGTTTTTAAGCTATCGATCTGAACTTTTGCACCCGTCCTTTTCTCACTAAGAAGCTGCTGATTTGTCGGATAGGCCCATAGCGCACCACTATAGCATATAGCTGTCATACAAAATGAACAATCGGAATCAAGTACTTGTATGGGAAACTCTTTTATTAGACGAGGTATCTTCACGAAATTTTGCCATAGCTTATTATTTAAGGCAATAATGCAATCTACGTAGAAATTGTATAGATCGGATGACTATAGCATAAAGCTGCCATATTAATTGAACTTTCAGTATAAAGTGCTTGCATGGAAAACCTTTTCATTTGACGAGGTGTCTTCACGAAATTAGATTATAATCAAGTTCTTGTTAGGAACCTTTGTATATGTGAAGGGTATTATAGCTTCGGTGCAAGCGAAGTTAACATTTTCTTGTTTCTTTTTGATTTTAGCATTGTGCGAAGCATCTTCAATGATTGGTTTATATGTATGTATGTATGTATATACATAAATACGTTAATTTTTCTAAATATATGGAATTATAACCAAACACTGAATGAGCGGCGTATCTTTCAACTGTTTGACGTCTGCGTCTTTCAACTCAACAACTCTATTGGGTGGTCTACTGACTTTGCGCTGACTTAAGAGGTGGTGGAAAGTGCGTGTATTGATGGAATAAGTCGTGAACGGTGATTACCCTCTTCGCGGGGGGTGTATTCGACAAGTGCTGATCTTTGTGTGCTGCAGTAGGAAATAAAGTAATTTTTTAATATGGCAAATACCAACTGTGGTTCTCTTAATCGCTTAGCACTTCTACTTTGACTATAGATCTTTCATTTGTTGCTTTATTTCCGAACAAATGATTGCGTTTGTGGCTATGTTAATTAACGAATTGACTTTCAATTGATTAAGGATTAATTAATAAAATAACAAGTATGAATAATTATGCCAAACTGTTGTGATTAGTGACTGATTGATGGTTATAGGTGATGGAACGGCGAGTGAAATGATTAAAGTATGAATTGTTAATTACTAATACTTGTAGTAATCAGATGAGATTATAGATTTGACCTAGGCATATTTGAATAGCGTGTAAACAGCTGAAGTGTTTACAAGTAGGCATAAATTACGATAACACAATTTATTTTGCTATAACTTAAATATAATGTGTAAGAAACAAACTGCTTTTACACTCTAGAAAAGGTGGATATTTTTTTAATTCGTTGAAATCACTCGTAAATCATTCACATCCTCATTAAATAGTCGACAACCGGAAAATCAGTACCTAAACAACCAGCTCAACTAATAAAATCGACAAAAAACATGCGTGTTTACAGTTTTGCCAATGGGAAGCCAATACCTTATACATATACTGAAATCACAAATTAGTATTTCAAGTGTGAGAAAATTTTACAGCATTACACATTTGTGAATATGTAGTCGCAACGGCAGTTGACTAAAAATACGTTAGCCCCAGCAACAACAGCGAAGCCTAAAAAACACAGAACGAGACACATCTGGACAAAAATTATTCTGACTTGGGATCAATATATTTATATCTACATAAGTACGTGCGTGTGTGTACACTCCACATATGTAAATTGATTTTACCGTTCAAGCATAAAACGCAACAAATTCTTTAAGGATTTTTCCTGCCACATCGTGTATATTATTTTGTATTTTTCGATTTTTATGCCTGATTTTGGTGAGAATACTCATAGTTCTGACGAAAGAAATGATAAGAAGGCATATGTAAGTGATTTCTAAAACATTTATTAAAATTATTATCTTTTTGCGGGGAAGTCGATGAGACCTACTATTCACATTTTCAACATAAACGCTACTCATTTTAATAGTTCATTGGCTGGTCAAAGTTCATTACACTCAATTTATTTTAGTAGTTTCAGATTAACAATGATAAAAATACTCATATTACGAAAATCTAACAAAACTCTTGTCTTGGGTATGCTTATCATTTTTGGTTACGATGCTTCAAAAGTATGCACACCATTCTGTAGTTTCGAAATCGTAGACTCAAACGTAAAAAATTGTATTCATAATCCTGCATCTACTGGCACACGCCTTAACGCCAAACTCAAGATATTGGTCGCATCGATATGTTTATGGCTGAAGAACTTGTTTCCAACTGAAGTTACATACCAATAAAGCGTAAGATAAGTATCGGCTTTTTGTATATTCAAATAAAATTGTTCGGTTATCTGTAAAAAAAAAAACTCTAAATTACGTACTAATCTCGGCGCGTTTTTCAAATTCAAATCACTTGAGAGCCGTTAAGTCTCATAGTATATTATTACTGATAAGACTCTCAAAGGTTTTACCCATTTTGGAGCATACTTCATGATACACACTCTGCTGCTATGCTGCTGTGTAAGTTGATTGTCATAAACACATTAATTCCCATGTAAACAGTGTACAACAGTTTAGAAAAGCAGGCAGCGGGGTGCCTCAATCACATGGAACTCTACTGCGCACAAAAACCTTAGTTACTCTAGAAACAGAAAAAACCAAAACACTTTCAGGAAATTTTCGTTTGCTTAGTTGTTTCAACAAAGCTATACTTCATATGTAACTACAACCATTTGTACCTCGCCGCACGCAATACCTGCACCGAAATATCAATTACACACCTTATAGTAATAATTTTCATATTTAGTTATAAATTGTTATTAAATATTATTGCACAACATACTTTTGCACGCGGTGTAGCGGAAGCAACGACTCGACCGTAATTTTCACTCTTCATTTGTTCAATTAAATGCGTACTCCTTGCTACTGTTGCGACTGAAATATAAGTACATTACATAAGTTCCATTTCACCCTTTTTCTTCGATATCAATTACCACAGTTCGATTTTATTTGTTGATATCGAATTTCGTGCTTGCAAGTACTCAGGCGTTGCGGTTTACCTCTTCACAGGTAGAAATAAATCAATCCTTTCGTGTTGGCAAATTAAACTGTGAAGTTATCGGGTAAGTGACACCTAAATATTTATTCGTTCGGCAAATGAACATACTTGTGAAATAAACGAAATTGCCGGAATTGGTGGAGGATATATGGTACATACCATTTGAATTTGTGTGTGTACTTAAGTGGTTGCTTTGACAGTTTCGATTTCATTGCGAATGCCAGATTTATCCGTAATTGATATATTCAGCAAAAAGCTATAAACATACCGAAGTAGAGCAATGCATGCTTATGCTGGCAACCGTCACCGACGCTTCGACCTTCCGTACTTACCATGCGTATTAAACAAAATTTGTCAAAAGTTATGCCCGTAGTGGCAACGTAAAATTCAGCTGTGCTCGTTTGTTTGCATGTCATCAATGTTGCCATTGCTCAATTTGTATGCGTGATTTTGCACACATTTAGTTTTTTAGTTATAATTTTTCATAATGTAAAAGCTCAACACTAAAATCCAACTATTAAAAATAGTCTACTTATTTATAAATAAATGTATTCGACTGTGATTTTTAATTAGTTGACAAATATTTCAAATATATACAAGTTTATTTTTTAATTATTACAAATATATATCGAGACCCTGCCTTGCAAGAGAGCAATCAGCTGACTTGTTTATACGAGAAAAATCCAATTTTCGTGAATATCCTACCATACGGTCAGCAGAAACGGACGCTAGAAGCGGTGATGAGTGTTCATTTTCATTGCGCTCTCATAAGATAGGTCGTATCAGCTGCTTCGGTCTACGGTTTTGTGTCTGCGACTGTTTCCAGAATAAGGTATGTAATCCTACCATATAATGTGATAATGCGTACCCTTAAAAATTGAGAACCTTTATTAAATTTCTTTCCATCACACTAGTAGCAAAGTTATCAGTATCTACTTATTTCTTGTTAAATATATAATTCGCCGGAAATCAGTAAACTCGTAACATTCGCTGTATCGGGATACAACAATAGCTAACCTATACGTTAGAAATAATTATATATTATAGAACATATATAATTTTATTTGGTAATTTAGGGCTATCAGAAGATACTAAATAAAATATTTTTTTACTGGCCGCTATATGCTTCATAATGTCAAACGAAATTACGACTTCAACCTGTTTTGGAAAATAGTTGCCACATTACTTATGTACATACGTAAATTCTAACTCCTTTCTCATAACGTGAGAACAGATAAGTATGTAGTAATAAATAATATCTCGTTGTGATCTGGAGTGTTTATAACTTACTATAAATACATAATTTTATAGCAGGTAATATGGTCATTTGCCTCTCACAATGGCCTCCTTCTAGGTTTTCATTAAATCTCTGTTTAAAGTAAACCCTGAGGATTTCAAGCTGAATACCTCTCATTGGGAGAAGAGAATGTCCGTAATATGTTAAAAAAAAATAAAGCAACTGGTTTTACTGTTCTTTAGCGAATCGTGAGAGTTGTAGTCATTGCAACCATTCACCTTTAATTCGCCTCTATGAATATGCATATCAAATATTGTAATGTTTTAGTTGAGTTTTATTTAATCTACTATAAGTGGATGTATTGCATTTATATTATTTATTTATTTATGCAACCAAAACACTAATCGCTTATCTCAGTTGATGAAAGAGCGTTGCTGTCCATACATGTATTTTGATGCAGGCTCACCTGCTCTCATTTGGGTTCTTATTCAGTCTGCCGGTGCCACGTTGCTACCTTGATAAGATAAGTGCTAATATTTACTGATTTTAAAATGCACCTTCTAAGTCAGACAGACCAGACGCACAAATGACAAAGTTACCATTACAAATTTTATGAATGAAGTCATTATTTAAACATTTGGCGGTTAGAGGAAGTGCGAGTATGCGTAACGCAGTAAAAAAGCAAACAAAAATAACATCTAAATAAAAGAGCGACTAAATATTTAACTTTCCCTTAGGATAAAGCTATTTGGAGGCACACAAGATTTTTTATATGAGTATAAAGCAAGAAAATTCTAAAATTTAAAGCACACACATATAGCATCACTTCAGGCAATTTCCTGAACGGCTACAATATTGTGCTTTATAATAAACTATATAACTTTACGGTCTGCTAAACTCCTTTGCGCAACATGGACCTTGAATTGTTTATAAGAATATTAATTAAGACATCGGCGATGTGGGTGAACACTGGAGTGGGGAGTTATTATCATGGCTTCTTCTGTTCAAACCCTGTCAGACCTCAGAATATACTAGTCGGCTTTGAACGCATTACCTTATAAAAGCAGTGCCTTAGCCTCCTAACTAAGATAACTTTGAGATGATTAAAGGCATTTATCTTTCGGAGTTAGGAGTGGAGATCCACTCATACCACCAATAATTTCAGAAACTAGAATGGAAAGTATTCCGTTAAGGAAAGTCACGAGAGAGAAAGGCACAAATCGCAGCAGGAAGAATGGCGCCATATAGTATAGCATTAAGGAAATTCAAAAGTTTTTGCAATGAATCGCCGATTATTAAAGAACATTATATTGCATAAAATGCCTCTTCTGAAAAATTCAAAAACTCGTTTTCCTGTAAGTGGATACAGCGTCTTATTTCACAAAGAAGCGTTTCTTCTTGCAGTAACACCATACAGTCACAGATATATATATATATGATATATATGTTCAAGTACGTATAAAAATATGTATTATTTTAGTTGCAATATGGTATTTTCATATATTTCCATGTATTTTGTCGTATAAATACTCATTTACGCAGGTGATTAAAATAAATAAATGATTTCTCCTAGTCAAGCCGGATGTTCACTGTACAAACTTCAACAAAGTATTGCTTTGTCTTAGGTGATCTAGTTTTCTCATTTTCCCAAGGATATTAAAATACGCGTTAGTCGCAGCTACAAAACACAATTGATCAATTTGTTTCACAATATTGTCAGCTTCGCTTCATTCGTTTATCATTGCTTCCTCTAAATCAACGCTCATAGTCTGCACTATGTAGGTAATTTGAACACCGCGTGATACTCACGAGTCCTTGAGGGAAAACGTCGCCGTAAAATGTAAATTTGAAACAATTTCTCGTGGTTTAGAAATTTTCCCACAACCAGCAGCCTCATGTGCGGGTGTTTCCAATAGATTGTGCTTATACAAACAGTTTTTTTTTGTAATTTAGAACATTTTTGTGTATTTTTAGAGTAGCAAACCATTTTGTATGTTGGGGGAAAATTAGACGGTTTACGCGTAATTAGTATTCACTGGCGTATGCGCATATGTATGTATGTATATATGTAACTAGAATACGTAAAGGAAATGGGAATTTGTTGGTAAAGGTAACAGCACGTAATGTGATTGAGAAGAATGAATTGTGAAGGATGTGAATGAATCTTATGATTTATGCTCAAAATAAATTCATGTAAAGCGAATGAAATATCCAACGATTTCGGAGGCAATATTTAAGCGTACTTCCGAAATTCAGTTCAAATTGTCCGAAGTCATGTAATAAATACGGTATTGAATTACAAACAAAGTTATACAAAAATATCACTTACGAGCTGTAGGATGTACCTCGCCTTCACCTTTTGCTTTTTTTGTGTGTTTCATTAAGCAAAATCCAAGCACATGCTGCGGTTTTCCTGGGAACTTTTCCCCCAACCTGTCAGGCGGACTAATTGCAAGCAGAAAACCATAAAAATCACGCCACAACAGTGAATGTCTAAAAAAAAAATGCATAGTACTTGAAGTAAAAGCAACAAAAATACTGAATTATAGGCGCAAACGGTAAAAGACAAACAAAAGTAAATCGTGACCAACGACAAGTGCCTGCCGAGGCTCACTCGACCAGTGAGGTCATGCCGCACTGAATGTTTGATGCGCCTTATGCGCAGGCGCACCAATGCATGCACAAGTGTAGAATTACCGAAAGGCATCCAATAAGGAGCCGAAATGAGATATTTAATTGCGCTGGTGAATAGGTATGCTTTTGGAATGTTCCCATTGTTGGCGTTGTAGGTGTAATTTGTAAGGATACACAACAAACCGAGTTCATTCATACTTCACTCACTTCAAGTGCCTACATCTGGTTAGTGACGTGGCAGACAGCAGGTCTGTGGTATTTTGCCATGTGTCCGGTTGTGGTTTCAGCAGTGCATGCCCTCGAAACTGTCTAGAAACACTTACTTACCTTTTTTGTTTTAATAAATTGACACATTGTAAGCAAGTACTGCCACTTTGAAGCTTGAAAGAGTTATATTTGTAAATAAGAAGCGTTATGTACGCTCAGCATACATAATTGTATGTACAGGCATAGGCAATACAATGACATCTCTGTTGAAATATTGTTAATTGAATGTGCCCACTGTGCTAAAGCATTCGCTCAACGCAAACAGTTCTGATGCTTTACAAGAAGCCTTTAATTCTAGTTTTGATCCAGACTGCCGTGAAACGCCGAAAGCCTTCAGTGAAAATGCATTGCAGTATGATTGGCTACAAATTAGTTATTACATGTGAAAGTTAATACACTTGTTTTAACTGCATTCTTATTTCACCCCCTAACTCCAATATTCTTGTACATATGTTACAGGCACAAACGTACATATTTATGTATGAAAGTAAGTTCCCCTTAGTTCCCCTTAAAGTATTTCGTGCACTGTCGATCGACTTCTGTATTTGTATTTTATAGCGCAAGTAGACGTGTTGCAGGTGGTTAATTTCATTTCATTTTCAAACGCTTATTACGAGGTCCTTTGACTGAGTGTGCTGCCATGCGTGACACTAAAAACAGAGATTTCTGAAAGTTCGCCTGTAGTAGCGACTAATATTTTTTATGGTTTCCGGATCAAAGAGCATATCCTGCACAATATGACAGGATGCAGTTTGTGGTACTCATATTGCTACTGAACGCGGGAGAATTTTGATCTGTGACAGATGCTTATGGGAAAATGTTTCATATAAATTTTTTTTTTTGTTTCCTTGAGGCCTTTAATTGCGTTTAGTTTGTAGCGACTAAAGTCAAAGCACTGTTCTTTCTCTAATATTCGAAGTCGAATTGTAGTCAGCTAATGCAAGTACGAAGTTAGAACGTTTAGTTCAAGCAATGACCAAAAATACAATTGGCATCGATTGGAAAGAAATAACTGTAAAGTTACTCTAACAAATAGAACTGTCTTTTCAAAGCGATTGCCAATACAAATAACCTTAAAATGTATGCAGGCAAAACAAACGGGACAGTCGTAAATAGTTTTGTGGCTAAATAAACCCTTCTCCTAATCACCCTAAATGGCATTAACTATTTCAACCAAAAGCGTTTATATATGCCGTTAAACGATGTCCTTTCACTGATAAGTCCTAAAACAATATAATTTACACTGTCAAAGTGTAACCAACACATTACAGTACTAAGCCACGGAAATCCGGCCGGTTTGCTGACCCGCCCAACTCTTTGCTTCAACCCCTCCAATATCATGTGGCGGAATGGCGTTGCATTTCGCAAAGGAAAACTTTCGACATTTGTCAACATTACGACGGTGAACCCTTTCTGTGAGAAAAGAACTTTTGCAAGGCAATGTAGGTGTATTTACGAAAGCAATATTTGCACATATACTTACATGCTGCTTAACACGTAACACCACATATCAGACATATCCTAGCGGGGTCTGCCGTTTGCAGTGTGAGCGCTTGATAAGCCAATGTGAACTATTGCAAAGTAGATAAGCAGTTGCAAAAACCAAAGAAAGAATGAAAGGACACATGAGCTGAAGAATGTATTAGCAATACTTAGAGATAAAAGAAGAATCCGCAAACACGCGCGGTTTTAATATCCTTTTGATTCCTTTTATGGTCAAACCAGCGCATGGCGAATGTGAACTCTATGGCATTAGCATAAAAAAGGAAACAGTTAGGTAATCGTGTAAGCTTTATAGTTCACTTTGGCAGCAGTCGTTCTTATATAGAAATGTCCTGTCGCCTGTTTCAAATTCTTTTGCATACAAATCGTCAGCGATATCCCGTGGCGAAAGGACTTCTTTCAACGCTTCTTACGTCCTCACATTACGCCATTATTTAGCTTTTGTTCCAGCACTCAACAGGACATTGTGCATTCGCGCAGATATGAATTACCTTTATGTAAATAATACCGCAGTCGACGCATATGCGACACACGCAGCAACCCTTTTTCAAGCGGCGGTGCACATTTTATTACCTACACGGTGCAGATGAGTTAGTGTCCTCTTGCTGTGCGCTATTCAGCTGTTGGCTATGATGTCTATGATCATCAGCATTCGGTGTGAAACCTGTGTCTGTGGCGAAGAAAGGCACACACACACACACACAACCAAATCCTCTCCAACTGAGTGAAGCAGCGCCCAACTGGTAGTACAAGCGTATTAATATGCTTTGGCTTTATGAGCTGCTCCCTGGTCATTGCTTTGTTATGCTATTTATCATAATTTTTCAATTCAAAGTTGTCTTTATACAGCATCAACCATCATACACCATCATACGCGTATACAAACAAATTCTTTACGCAGATTGATCTTTCGCTGATGCTTCGAAAGTGCGAGCATTTCCCCTGATGTTCAGCCCTTGTTGCCATTCTAATGTCCAGTTTGTTTGTTGATTTGTTTGCACAATTTTGCATTTGCCATCGATGCATCTTCGGAGCTGCCAAGGAATTGTTTACACTTTCATTTCTTCTTTCCGAGATGTTTGCGGAATGGAAATGTGCGTTATCATGGGAAGCGGAGTGCAAAGCGGACAAGCTCGTTTGCGCTGATAATTAATGATAATTTTGACACTTTCTTCTTGACATTTGCACAGCTGTCCCAAGACTTTTGAACGAAATATCATAAACTATTCAGTTTAATAAAACTCGTTAGAAAGTGCGCAAGAGGTCAATTGGTTTTATGAAAAAGTCAACGATGTGCACAAGTTATGGTATATGAACTTCAAACATTACCACACATAATTATTTCTCACCTTAAATTTAGATTACTTTCAAAATAAGTAAATTGATTCTAATGCAGTAAATATCAGCATAAAAAGATTTGGTTCTAACGGAACAGAAGTTTTGTTTTTTTCCAAAATTAAAGGAATAAGAGACGTCTGTCAAAATTTACAACAAACATTTCGAATCCAAAAAAGTAATCTTTAAAGAAAAGAAGCAAAGGAACAGTCTAAAAGTAATATTAAAGGAAAATTGAATTTGCGTTTATTAGGGTGGAGCGAAAAAATTTTTTTTTTGTGTTTAGCCTGAGGGTGAAATTCGTAGATTATGAAAATTTTTGGAAAAAATCGCTTTTAAAGTAAAGTTTCGAGTTAAAATTTTTGATAAGTGTTCTAGAAGCTGTGGGGAGTCCTCTTTCTGGCCAATTATCAACTAAAACAAATTTTTTGTGGTCATTATTGGAGTTTAAAAAAAAGTCTTAAACGGCAACATGCTTTCCTTAAGCGTTAAAATAAATTTTGAGTCAAAAACCGCTAAATTGTCAATTTTTATATAAATGTGAAGAGTTTAACCAACAAAAATTTTTACTCGAAATTTACTTTAAAAGTGAGTGGGCCGCTGCTAATTGTTAAAAAAAAAATTGTTTTTTATTCCAAAATTTTTTTTTGTATAATCTACAAATTTTACACTCAGGCTAAGCAAACAAAAAATTTATTTCGCTCCACCCTAGTGTTTATGCAAAATCTAATATTACACTTAGTGCTTATACTTACAAATTAAAGTCATATTGTAAATCCGAAATTCAAACATTGATTTAAATGCACTACACTACTATTTAATGTTGAGATAAAATCACATTGGAGCCATAAAATCTAGCAATAAACAGATTGTTACCGAAATATTGTATATAATAGTTTAGTTTGTGGTAAGCTTCTTAAAATATATGAAATCCTTATTCCACGTATGTTAACGAAGAAATATCATTCCAGGCTTGGAGCTTTAGGTCAGCGGTAAATGTAATTATGGTCAGTCAACTTTTTTCGCATACAGGATTTATGAGCCATCTGTGTAAGCGTTCTCATTAGATGTATGCTTTCGCTCACACGATGCCATAACCAGTTCAAGAAGTATTACGTACCTAAAATAAAAAATAATAATTAAGCATGCAAAAGTGTCCATTAACGCCAAGACATATTACCAACTTATATACAATACATATATGCAGCCGTCAGCATGATTAAGTGAGCGCTTCCTAGTCTCAAAGCAGTAAGCATAGTATTTTCCATTCGCGTGTATTTCATTGACGGCAAACGTCAAGAAACATTATCCTTCTAATAACTCAAAACACACGCTTTGACGAAATGTAAGCTGGCAAACACGGCGATCGCCAGTGGTCAGTTTGACAGCTATCCCTAGCTACCACCATGGAGGACGAAATTTGAGATTCCCTTCAGGTATAACGCGGACTTGTAAAAAATCACAAACTTTTTTTTTAGTTTTATTTCTTACAAGTGACGAACATATTTCCGTTGAGAGATATACTCACCTTGAAAGCTAACAACCCCCAATTACGGCAACCCTTTTAGAATGCTGTCCCATGACTTTGCGGCCAGTTGTTGGCTTGATTTGCTTTGCCGCGCTTAAGGCCGATCTGTCTTGCGGGTTGTCCTATTCTTGTAAAAATCCCTTTGTCCAGGCACTTTGCATAATCAATAATCCTTGACGCAGCATTTATTGTGCAACTGACCAACGATTTTAGCATGTTTTGCGAAGATAAATTATGGTTTGTAGTCAAATGAAAGAAGGCAATCCACAACAATAGCAGCAACAAAAAGGTTTTCATAATTATGTGTATGCATATTTTAGTCTCGTAATAGAAAAAACGAGACGATTCCCTTGCCGAAGTGACATCTGCTCGGCCTCATAATCTAAGTGGTGTATGAGATGAAGAATTGGCCGATTGGTCTTCCACGGAATGCTCATCGTTCGTCTACTTCGGTAAAGGTATATATAATAAATGTGGCATTCCACATACATATGCTTTTATGCGTGTTTAGAAGACTTAACTTTATAGTGGCAACGGTGAAAATCAAAGTATGCTCCATTGATAAGCTAAAATCAAACGCTTTTTCGTAATCTATTTCATTTTTCGCAACGAACAACCGCGCTTTCTACAAGATACGTACATATTGCGTTAGGAAAATGCGAAAAACCATGCGCCACATTATTTTTGACTTAAAATTTTGGTTTTTCGACACACCATCAGTACAATTCATGAGAATTTTTGCGCTTATGTATATATGTATGTATTAAAAAAATATTACGACCAACTCACTTGCTTCGTTAAATTCGTTTAGGAAGTGCTCTTGAGAATGTGTAAGCACACATTTTCGACGAATATACAAATCACTGCAGTAAAAAACGGTCTAAAATAAATTCAGCACAATCTTAGAGATAAGCGATATTTGTAGAATAGATTCAACGAATATAGCGCGATAAGCTACAGTTTAAAATGTGAGGTCAGCTGACCTCTTTCTGATATTTTTCTAATCTTTGAGTGTAATAAATAAATTATATGCTTTAGATTCTTCGTTTATTTTCGTGTGCACAACAATTATTCGTGAAAACTACTTCCAGCCCACTTCAACACGCAAATAAAGCTATAGAAATTAAATAAGCACTTATGTTTAGCATTTAAATTTAAACTAAATTGGTTCCGCGATTTCGTAAACTATATATATGTAGGTATATAAATTGTTATATACATATGCATATATTGTACATAAAAATCAATACGCAGAGGTAACTATAGTTTTTTTTGCAATTCAACTCAATAAATTTGATATATTATTAAAATGTTCAAATATATATATGTGATAATGGAATATACATATATACTTGTATGTATACACATATATGCCTAAGCGGTAAATCACAATGCTGCTTCTAATTGCGACACTTTGTTCGTCCCGTTGCTTTATAATTCCCAGTTTTTGACCTGAATTTACACATTCTACAATTAGTGTTGAAAATGTGAAAAATATGATGCAAATGCGATTTTGTTGTAAAATCTTCATGGAATACACTGTTGTAATCACTTATATACTTTATTATTAATTTGCTTTTAGCGATAACTCTCACAATATTGTTTACACGGTTAGTGCCATTTTGCACAGATAAGCCACATACATACATACTTGTATAATCGCTGCCATTTTTAAACAAACAACAAATAAATAATTCATTTATTTATATAAACAACTTGTGGCCAATTAATAAATAAGTGTGAAACACAATGAATTTGTGTTGGTGCCAATCAGCGTCAGCAGCTTGGTCAACCGGAGCAGCTTTCTAATTTAAAGTGATCTGCAAGTGAACTTTTGTCCTTTCGCTGAACTCAGCTCCACACACCGCCCGGTGGACAGCCAAAGCGGATTGCTGGCCCGCAACGCTGATCTGCAGTGACATTAATTTTTAGGGTGAATTGCTGGCAATTAGAGGTGCATGATCTCCCACTAACGATTACAACAAGTATGGTTGCTAGAATATACAATACATACACACATACATACATACATATGCATGTGTCTATGCAATAATTTTAGTGTCCATAGTAAACGAAAAATTCTTGTTGATGTTCTGTGAGTATGCAATTGTTATTGTAGTAATTTATAATCGCCCGCATGATTAGCAGAGAAGCAGCTAGTCATGTGACTGAAGCATGATCGTGAAAAGATAGGAAGTAAATGCTTGTTTGTTAAAAAATCGCAGTTATTGTTTCAACTTCTATTAAGCATAGACAAAGTTGCATTACATAAGCATTAGTAATTAGGGATTTATAAAGTAATTATTGGTTTTCTATTTAAGAGAGCTATTATTATCGCTTTATAAAAGATTTTATACAGCACTATATGACTCTTGTACTTGTACTTCTGCCAAAAGCAGATGTCTAGCCTCGGTTGCGTATGACCCAAAAAGATTTCACTCAACTGCTGCCGCACATCTACAGATATAAATGCAAAATATTAGTGGCTTTGTATTGTACATCTACGAATTTTTAATAACTACTAAAGCTCATTTCCTTAAATTGCAACGAAAAGATGCGGCCAACACAAGCATCGCTGTATATATTTGCATTGATAGCAGTGTGCAAGCAACAAGGATAGGTAGGATTTTATAAGCAAAAACAAATTCTCAATGACCACTTAACAGCACACATATATCGCGGCGAACGCGGTAGGAGCGAAAGCATCAAGCATCCACACTCGTAAAGTGCACTGATGGGTCTCAAGTGCTTAAGTATTATCCTTTTTATAGTCACTTCCGCTGCAACGTTATTGTTCTTATTATTGCCGAGCGACTTCGTCTTACATTTTATATTTACCAGTATTTTGTTTTTTTATCAGATTCCCCTATTTTGTAGCATATTTTCATGCCATGAATTATGCGAAATTTTCATTATTTGTTGTGCTTCTGAAAAAGCTAAACGAGAGTTCGACGACATTTCGTTTCGTTTTGTTGCATTCATGATAGAAACTTGAAATAAAAAGGATATCATCATCATTATCCTTAGCTCAGCTACACTTGAGTGAGACCATAAAGGCGTTCAAATGCGATTTAGCTTGTGGCAATAGGCGGGCGAGGTGGGTGGGCAGCTGCTGTTGGAAGTTGAAGGGTCGGTTGTGGCAGATTAAATAAAAATATAAAACCAAGTTGCAAGTGATTTTTAGCGTTTATAGCATATATTCTACATATGTTTGTCAAACTGAGCAAAATAGAAGGCAGCAAGGACCAAAGAGATGGTCACGAAGGGAAGCGGACTGAAAAGAATTTATTCCATACTGATGAGCTTAAGCGGCAGTGGATATTTGTAATGATAATTCTCTGATGACAATGAAGCATTCAACATATTTTGTTTCGTCTTTGTGCCCGTTTCTTGTTAAATTGGATTTTATGCAAAAACACTTGGTCCATACCTCAATTCCCATACATACACATGTATGTATTAAATACATGGGTATGATGAGGCTAACAAGTTGGTCATTTTCCCATGCTACAGCAGAACTAGATATGTATGTGTATATATTTGTTGTATCCATTTTCCAAACAAGAAAAGCAAATTAATTTTAACATCAAGTTCGACAGACGAACACATTGACCGCCTGATGCATAAATATTGTTTCTTATTATGCTTCAACCATCGGAAGTACATAAATTTCACAAAAGTATTCCAATAAAATCATTGTAGTCAGTAGTAGGCTAGTACAGAAGCAAATAAAGGAAATACTTTTAAATAATCCGAAATCTTGTCGTATGGTATCGTGTGTAGTCACATAGAACAGTTGTCGGCAGAATGATCTTCAATGTCGGTAGGATAATAAGTCGCCACGACCGTAGTTGAAGGACATTGAAAATTGTGCTCAACAATCTGGCGTGCGTAGGATTGTCGGCTTTGATGGCGCTCCGTTCAAGCTGTGCACACTCATTAAACGGTATTTTTGTGACCATTTATGGCCACTTAACGGGCACCCAAGAACCACAAAAACCACAGCAACCTACACAGCAATAGCGCAATATCAACAGCAGCCCAAGTGGCAGATGAAGTAGCCAATGTGTTTTGTCTCGCATGAGTTTCTTACAGATATGGATCTTGCAGAAACACGTCGTCGATGGCGCTTCTTGCTTTCTTCAAGCATCCGCAGCACAATTCATTGCCTTTGTTGTGGTGATCCTGCTGTGTGTCTTGCGGACGCAACAACAACCTTTTGATTTTGTTTGTCTTCGTGCCTACGCAGCCGTCACTGTCGTTTCGAATCATTTGCGGTTGGCTTGGTTGTGCATCAAGCACCATTAAAACAAGAAAAAACGTTAACTTCGGTTGCACCGAAGCTATAATACCCTTCACAAATACAAAGGCTCCGTACCAGAACTTCATTCCGATTGTACAATTTGTAGGGCAATTATATGGTATAGTTATCTGATCTGCACAATTTTTTCGGAGATTGCCTTATTGACTTAAATAATAATTCATGCCAAATTTCGTGAATATAACTCGTCAAATCAAAGAGTTTTCTATGCAAGCACTTTATGCCGATTGTTCAGTTTGTACGGCAGCTATATGTTGTATTGGTTCGATATCGGCCGTTCTGACAAATGAGCAGCTTCTTAGTGCGAAAAAGACGGGTGCAAAATTTTAGGTCGATAGCTTAAAAACTGTGGAATTAGTTTGTATATATACAAACAGACGGACATGACTGAATCAACTCAGCTCATCATGCTGATCACTTTTGTATATATTTTATAAGGTCTCCGACGTTTCCTTCTGGGTGTTACAAACTTCGTGGCAAACCTAATATACCCTGTTCAGGGTATATAGAGTGCTACTAAAACAACAAAAACTAAGCAAAGCAAAATTTGTACTCTTCTTCGTAAGTATCGTCCTGCCTGTTGAAGTGCTTGGCCTCGCACTGATTATGAACAAAAGCCGCTTTTGTTGTGCGCTATGTTGCAGCAGTTGTTGCAACTGTTTGTTGCATATCCATTTTGCACATCTTATGGCGCGCAATTGCGTTACTGTGGCGTCCATTGTTCATGTGAGTGGGTTCTAATGTGATTCTAATGTGCTTCTCAGCCAAGTGAGGCGCAATGAAGTGGGTACACAGAATACCTATCCTGATGCAAAGCAAGCAAAGGTGTGCGTCGGATGAGCGTGGGATTTTTCTCAGCCAATCTTTACGCATATGCACATGTGAATAATGGTACGCTTATATTTATGGCGTGTTGTTCATTGAACGCGAATTATTTATGTGTTCACCACCAAGAAATCAGCCCTCACAACAGTTGTGCCAAGAATCTAGTAAGTTAAGTATTACCGGCTAGCTCCAGAATTGCGTCTCTCAGTAACTATAATATCGGTAATTGTATTATATAATGCTTAATAATAGACTTGATTGAAATCGGTATATACGGTATGAAACTAACCGGAAGTTTGAAATTCTTATATTAGGTATATGGGGACTGGGGATAGTATTGATCTGATTTTATCCATTTTTGACAAAAGCGAATTCGGTTATTATAAAAATATTCTCTCCGAATTTCAATACTATACGTCAAAAGTTTTATTACATTTTTAACGTTTTCAATAGCACTAGAGCTAGAGGCAACTGGTTAAATCGCAAAATCATCGCATTCGCTACTATCTGAAGATTCATCATCACTATTGAGTTCATATGCCGATCAACTTATATTTATAATCAAATATCACCATTCAATGTAGCCGCACCAAATGTAACGGCTTTCTGGAATATGCATATATGTAGTCTCCACTGATTTTGTGATCATTCTATGCGCCTTCTTTAATGGGCAATACGATGATCAATTAAAAGAGCATCAAGTAGCAATTGTCAAATAGCAAAGCACACGCTTTGATCTCAACCAAATCACCCAAGAAAACATAATTAAGTAGAGAAGTACAAATAAATTGTGTCAAAGCATTTGATACCTAAATAAATAAACAAAGAAACGAGATGCCGACGTCACTGGAGAATGTGGGGGCGTTTAAAAGATGATCTTCTGGGCACAAATGTGCTGCATAGTACTAATGTTGTTGCAAATCACACAATTTATACCATACATAAGTTGTCATTGCTTGTTGCATTGATAGTGTTACATTAGTACACCATAATTTATTGAACGCGGACGCACACAAGCAGAGCGATCACATGGTAAGTGTAGGTGGCAGATCAACACAGAAGCCACCCATCATCCGAACTGTTGTCGTTAATCGCTTGCCATAAATAATAGCGACCGGGCATGTACATTTGTCGCTTGAAGAGCAACACAAAACTTTCAGATCAATAGAATTTGAGATTGCCTTAATTTTTGAGGTAAGTTAGCGACATCAAAGTAACTTAAGAATGTGCGTGAGGTCAATTCAAATGTGCATCTTTAAATCCCGAAATGTTTATATATAGAATTTAAATTGTAAAATTAAAACTGTATAATTTTTTATTGAAATCTGCGCAATCGAAAGTTAAGAGCGGTAATGTTGGTTTTATTTCCAATTTTTGACACATTCCAAACACGTGACAGTAACTGCAAAACATGATTTTTTTTTATATAAATTAAGCAAGTTTTTTCAAAGCTGCACGAATGCTCTACTGCTCATATGCCGCGTTAAAGTCAAATTCGATTAGCAGCATCCCATTTTGGAACAATGACGCTGGCATACAATGCCAGGATAATACAGGCGGAGAAAATGAGATCAACCCTTCTTGTGTAAACATTATGATCGGCCGGAGTTAAGATGATCAACTGCTTGCTGTCAGCTAGGCCACACAAAAGTACATGACCTCAACAATTTAACAAACCAATGATTGCCCTAATTCGGAATGTCGAAGAAACGGGAAACTCGATCAAACCCTCAACGCGTTGAACATTCGTTTCAACTGAACACAGATCACAGCCAAAGATCAAGCATAGCAACGAGATCACTACAGTGGTAAATGGACCAGAAGAAACTGTAAGAAAGGGTGCAAAATCAAATAGTGGAAGAGTTAAAGTCTGCAATAAAAAATGAAGGAATCGCAAACATGACAAATACGGTAAGCG